AACATGTAACATTCTTGTGATTGTGACATGAAACTTACATTTGGATGATTCAAATTTTTTTTTTTTTTTTTCATTTGGTAAGTCAACTTATTAGTCATTTTTTTTTATACCTTTTTCCTTTTTTTATATATATTTTTAATTTTGGTGGCCAACCTAACCCAACCCTTTTCTTAGGTGGTCCAGGACAGGTTGGGTTGGGTTAATCCATTTTGACATCTCTATTACTATGGGTCTGACGGCATGGCTTTTTTGTGCTCAGGGGCGTTGCTCCCAGCTCCCACATAAATAGGGTTTGAGTTATTCCCACTGTAATAGTAGGGACCGGGGGCAAAACATCTTTAGTTTACGTGTTGTCAAATTTGATGATAAGATACCCTTATTTGCTGACATCGAGAATTAGAGATGACTTAAGACAATGATGCCTCATCTGCAAAAATATCTGTACGTACGACAACAAGAGTGCAACTTAAAATTGCATACTGAAAAAACCATGTGGGCAACATTGTTGTAATTGAAACCATGGATACTGAAACCGAAATTTATATAAGTTAACGAGACCAAGGATCCTATAATTTGTGATCATGAATACAACGTTCTAATTCTTCTGGTTTATGTCACAGTTCTTATATAGCATTCTTGTTTACCATGTCTCCTGATTCTATCTCTGTTTAGATTTTTCATTTTTCTTGTTCTGTTTGCATTCTCTTGATAGATTTTTTTTTTTTGTTGAGATTTTCTAATATTGATGGGTGGATCCTAGGGTGCTGAACTTGCAGCTGATGAAGGAAGAAGTGCTGCTGCTCTAGCTGCATGTAGGACATTGGCCGAAGAGCTGACTGAGTACCGATTTCCAGCTCCTCGCATCCTTGCATTCAAGGTTAATTTTCTTTTCTATTGACACCACACCCAGTTTCATCTTCTGGTTATAAGATAATAACAGACAGTTTACATTTGAAACAGGAGGGTAGCTCCCAGGCTCGATATTTTGTCTCTCGTCTCATTCCAGCTCACAAGGATCCTCCTTATGAGCAGGTAAACACAGCACTAGCACTTTATTCTTATTTGGGATGCTCATGTTGTTGGTAAAGGCAATATTTACTTTGGTAATGATGTCCTTGCCTCAAAAGGGTCAGGTCTCATTATTGGATAAACTTTTCAGTCAACATCAGTTATATTATGTGGCCATGATAAAGGAAAAAATAACATCAAAACAGAGAAAAAAAATAGAAATATAAAAAACACAGAAATGTGTTTGATTCTATTTGTGTAATCCATCTAAGATGAATTTTTACTATGCCCATTCCACCCCTGAACTGTCTTTAGACTAGACTCTTAGGTTTTTCAACCAACTAATTTCTATTAACTTTTAGTGCACAAAAAAAGGAAACAAAATCAAAGAATTCATTACACACACACACACACACACAACAAATATACCTATAAAATGCATCTATTCTTTCATAAGTACTTATGTGGGAAGAAAATACGAAAGTTTAAACTTTTCCTGTAAGTTAAAATAAACTAATGTATAAACTAATTTATAGAAAATATTATATTGAACTTCTCCAAAAGAAGATTTTATATTATGCATAAGTAAATTTTTAACTTAAGAGAGTAACTTAATTCATTTACTTTTTTTAGTTTCTACTCCTATAAATGCTTATTGAATATCTAAACAAGGTCTTAGTCTCCTTAACGGTTGGCTAGGGGATATCCTTGGGCACTCTCAAAAAGAAATGTCTCGTTAACGGTAACTGGTTTGTTGTATAATATTTATTTTGTGGCCTGCTCCATAGACAACATTTCAAGATTGCTCTAAGCCTCTAATTATTTTTGCAGGAGGCAAGATTCCCGCAACTGAGGTCGTTGACGTCAGAACAGCGGACAAAGCTGAAAGCTAGTTTTGTTCACTTTGACGATCCTAGTTTCTGTGAATGGATGCGAAGTTTGAAAGTGGTGCCACCACAACCAAGCTGATGGGAGACCTAAACTGCATATTCCAACTTGTTGGTTATTATTCTTTGTTAAGTTGGTGAAGCCAAGTTTGTTTGCATGATTTGAGGAACGCAATGAGATCCTGCACATGTCTCCAACACGCTCGCTTCAGTGCATCCTTCCATTCATTTGTTCACTTCCGACAAACGTCTAAAAGCTGCAAAAAAAATGTTTTTTTTGGGGGGTGAGGTGAGATGAAGACTGTGACAAAGAATTTTTTTTACAATTTACGGTTAAGATGTTACTATAGAGCAATAAAAGGATTTCTCGTTATTTATATTTATAGCACTTGTTGATTGCCAAGTGTTTTCTTCAATCTCTAATATTTTTTGAATCTTTTTCTCTAGTCCATCCCTAATGCCGATTGGAATTAATTTTGTTTACAAAAATAAGTGTCAGTACGGAGAATGGGAGTCCAGATCCACTTTATGTCTTTTATTACTAACGTTTTAAAGTTTTGAGAATATAATAAATTAGGTGGCAAAATGGGTTATAGTCAGCTGATTTGTCAAAAATTAGTGGGTTGAGCTAGAGATTCTGGTCAGTGAGGTCTACGTTACCTAGCCCATGAGTTCACCGGCTTAAATTAAGTTATTTTAGATTTATTTTGTGTATAATTTATAATTTGTTGTGTAATAAATTTGTTGTGCATTTAATTTATTTTATATGTAGTTTCTTTATTTATTTTATTATTTAGGGACACTAATATATGTATGTTCTTTAAGTATTGAGAAAAAAAAATATGTTTGAAGAATAATTCAAAATAAATATGTAAATTTTTTTTCATTTTTTTTGCGGTCCAATTCATTGACTTGTCAATCCACCCTTAAGGTTTTTGGTCCATTTTTGTTTGGTGACCTAACTTGACTTTCATTTTTTGCGAGTTAATGAGGAGTCAGGATTAAAAGGAATGGACTGATTCATATTTTATTTATAATAAATGTTGTTTTTTCTAAAGTGTGTATCATTTTTATTTTATTTATTTTCTCAAAAGTTTTAAACAAATGAAAGAAATGGGCATGAAAGGAAATGGATAGGATCCAAATTTGGATAATTGATTTTGATGATTATAAACTTGGTACTTAATCTCTTAGAAGTGTTTAGAAAATTGGTTTGATTTATAAATAACTTCCATTGAAAATTTATAAAAATAAGTATGAGGTTGATTTTGTTTATTGTGTTTTGATAAGCACGTGATGCAATGACAATAAAAGTTGTTGTTAGGTAAAGTTATATGATGCTATTTGCTTTGACTAAAATCTTAATCTTCGAATATTATTTGTTATGAGATTTTGATCAACTTTTTAAAGCCTTTTAGATCTTTCACTTATTTTTAGGATTAAAAATTATATAATCTATTTTTTATTGATACTTTTAGTATTTTTGTGTGTGTTCAAATTATCTTATTTATATTTTATTCTCGCACTAAGTATTATATTAATATCTTTTTTGTACAATTATTTCATATCATGTGATATAAAATGATGATACACCATAACATGATATTTTTTTTATCACCCATTTATCTTGTTTTCTTTAGTCAAATAATCATTTATTGAAAATGAACCTAACAGAGGAATATTCAAACATGTAAATTCGAATTTAAATAGTTAGAACTTCACAAACTTAAATAGTCAAAACTCTACAAGAGTAACACAATTGATTAAACATCTTTATTTTTTTTACTAAGAAGTAAAATTAAATTAATTTATCTTATATTTTATACCTTTTCATACCAACTCGTGGAAGTTGGGTAGTTAATACATAATCTCATTAAAAATTATTAAAAAAAATTAGTAATTAACTTTAACTTTACATAAAGTAGTGTCTTACCTTAATCTGAAATTTTAACTAAAAGATAAAGATAGTCAAATATTCCATTTAGCGATTAAAAAAAGAAAAAAAAAGTAAAGAATTACACCCCCTCGGGTAGAGTTTAGTTTTTTTTTTAATTTTTTTTTTACACTTTTTCTCATTCTTTTTGGATCAACATTTGCTCATCAATAACTCAAATCGAGTTGACCCAAAACAATCCACATAATTTGAGTTAAACAATGCTATGTCAAAGAGCTCACAGAAGTGAATCAAACCTAATAAAACACGTTGCCTAAAAAAGCTCCAATGGTTTGAATAAATTGCAATATTACAAATTTAGTTGGAAAGAAGGAATGTGATGGAAAAATGGTAGAGAAACAGGAAGGCGTCATGGACAAATAAAGAAACTGAAAGATAAGAAGAATGAAGAAAATGAAAGTGGTAGCTGAAAAAAATAGGAGAGTATAGTTGAACTTACAACAATATCATGAAATTTATTTAAGTTTGGTAGATACTTAGCAATTACAAATAACACATCTTTTATACTTTATTTCTCTTTTACTTTATTTTCCCACTTTTTCTTCTTTATTCTTTCCTCATCATTTCACTTCTAATCCAAACTTTATTAATTCATCGTTACAAAAAACTGCCATCAAGAGAAGAACTAATAATAGTAGCAATAAAAAGTGTTAGCAACACTTTCTATTATATTTTTTACAACATATTTTTTTGGTGTGATTTTTAATAACTTTCAGTTAATAATAAAAAGATATGTTAGAATAAGCGTTACAAAATTCGTTCCTAAGATTTCTCGCAAATTTTATTTATTCTTATATTTATAACAACAGAATATGATCAAGGTGAGGAGGTACTGTAATAAAATACATTCAAATCATACAGATACATAATTTTTTTTTTTCCTATAATTTGATTAATTTTCTACATTATACAACTATTAAGTCTAAAATTATTATCACTATTAATTTCCTCCCTAATTCAAGTGTAATACTATTATTGTAGCAAATGATGAGATTTTTTTTATAAGTAATATAATTTAAAATTAATCAATAGCTAAAATACAATGAAGTATGATGGAGTCTTAAAAATAAAAAATGAAGAATTATAGGGAAAAATTGACTGAAGCTGAGCCGCAGGAAAAAGTAATACGTTACTAAGGGCACAGTGAAGAGTAACGGAAGACAGCACAGTGAAGAGTGAAGAGTAAAAACGCAAAGAAAATAGTGAGGGCGGAGGGGCACTTTATCTGAAAGCGAAAACCCTAGGGTCAACCGTAACGCCACAATCGCTCTCGCGCGTTTCGCTCGCCTTCGACATCTTTGCAGCGGGTAACACACCTCGCATTTCAATCCAGATACGGTTTTGCTTCGCCTCCTAATAGCTAACGATTCTCTTTTGGCCATGGCAGGATCAGGTGCTCCTCGTTCGCGATGGCGGGAAGTGAGGCCAAAAAACCTGTCGCCAAGCAATCCGGTAATTCGCATTAATCATTTTCGCGTGCGTTCGTTACTGTTTCTTGTTTTTGCGCGTTCGTTATTCTAACGGTGAACGAAGCCTTGCAGGCGGGAAGAAGAAGGAGGTGAAGAAGGAGACTGGCTTAGGTCTCACGCATCGGAAGGCGGAGAACTTCGGAGAGTGGTATTCTGAGGTATTTGAGCCGTTGGATAGTTTGTAGTTGTTATTTTGACCTGATCTATGTTCGGTCAAAGTTGCTCGTTCGTCCTGATCTGATTTTGTTTCGCTGTGTGGCAATTTCAGTAGTGTGTGTGTGTGTGTTGGTTGACTTTGGCTTTGGATTAATCTGACAGGTTGTTGTTAATGCGGAAATGATTGAGTACTATGATATATCTGGTTGCTATATTCTGAGGCCTTGGTCAATGGCAATATGGGAGATAATGCAAGTAAGTTTCTTATTTCTTGTTTTGTTAAAAGATAATTGAGTGATTAGTGAATGCGTTTGTGTATTGTGTACTTGTTTTTACCGAAGTTTCTCTCAACTAGCTCTACTGTTAATGCTTGAGTATCATATTTCTGGAACGTGAATAGTTGCATATGGAATCACAGATTTGTTTTTTATAGTCTTTACACAGGTCAGAGTTGCTTTAATTTTGAACCCAATGTGCAGGAGTTTTTCGACCCAGAAATAAAGAAAATGAAAATCAAGAACTGCTACTTCCCTTTGTTTGTGTCTCCTGGAGTTTTGCAAAAGGAGAAGGACCACGTTGAGGGATTTGCTCCTGAGGTGAGAGTTTGTGAATTTGTTGGGCCATGTAATGTAGACTGTTCAATGAGTTAGATCAAGTGTTTTAATTGAACTAGGGAATATTCTCCCTGAATATTAGGAAGATTGGTTTGGTTGTAAAGATTTGGAGATTATTTCAATCTTATATCAATTATTTGTTCAATAGTCTGAGACTTTCTTGATAAGGGACAAAAAAATGCTGGATTATGATGTACACTAAAAATTAGGTTACCAACGTTTGTTTCATTTAGCTAAGGATGTTTCATGTGTTGAAATGATTATTTTTTTGTGACTTGCAGTATAACGATCTATACAGCTCCAGTTCTTTCCTGGAGGACTTTCTATTTTAAAAACACTAGGTCTTGTCTGATTGTCTTACTCTTCTGTCAGGTTGCTTGGGTGACAAAATCTGGGGAATCTGAATTAGAAATTCCTATTGCTATTCGTCCAACTAGTGAAACTGTCATGTATCCCTACTACTCCAAGTGGATAAGGGGACATCGTGATTTGCCACTGAAGCTTAATCAGTGGTGCAATGTTGTTAGATGGGAGTTCAGCAATCCCACACCATTCATCAGGTAGTGGGTAATTTTATTTTTCTTTCACCATGTTTTCTTTTGGCTGTGTTATATAACAAAGTGTTGGCTGGTGTTTTATACATTGAACAATTTCAAACTTGAATAAGAGGCTTCAAATTTTGGAATATTTAGCCTTTTGTATGACATCTACATTATGCCATAAAATTCTGCGTGTTTTATTTATGAATGGATCTTCCTCTAGTGGTAATTATGGTAAATTGGTCATAGTGAAGCAGGCTTGTAGTTTTTGCTCTTAGATCTTAAATTTGCAAGAAATAATAATTGTTACATGTTAATGTTATTCATTAATAATTAATAATATATAGAGGGCAGGCTTTGGCCTTGTGACATAGAGGTCATGCATTCAAGTCTTGGAAACAACCTCTCTGCTTGCAGTGGTAAGGCTATCTTGTATCTACATCTATCCTCCCCAGACTACTCCAGGTGGGAACCTTATGTGAGGTTTCCCTTATTATATATCTAATTATTAAGGTTTTGGATACTGTTGCTGTCATGTTAACTAATTTATATTTTGGAACTTCTTTCTAGTCCATTTTGTGGTACTTATACAAGTTATGAATGCAGGAGCCGCGAGTTTCTTTGGCAAGAAGGGCACACTGCTTTTGCAACAAAGGAAGAAGCAGATGCAGAGGTATTGCGTCAAATAATTTTTTTTAGGAATTTCTCTTTTGGTCTCATTTGTAATTGTATAACCTGCTTCAATTTTGTCATCTTCTGGTTTTGTATGCTTAATGAAGAGTTGTTAAGACCTTTCTCTCTTGTGGTTCATGAACAAAACCTTTTCTTAAAGGAACATTATAAATTGTGTTGTTATGTTCCTTTCTTGGGGTTCTGTAGTACTTAAATTATTTATGAACGTCCTTTTTGCTTCTGGTGCATGCTATCTTCTTATCAACATTACTTTGTATTTTCCACCCAAGCAAACAGATTTCTGATATTCCTAAAATTTCTGAACTATTACTGTTTCAGGTTCTTGATATTCTGGAATTATATAGGCGTATATATGAAGAGTATTTGGCTGTTCCAGTCATTAAGGGTAAGAAAAGTGAGATGGAGAAGTTTGCTGGTGGACTTTACACTACAAGTGTTGAGGTAGACATTCTTGCATGAACACTGATAATCTGATATGCTATTTTAATAAGCTGTTTATAAATTTTGTTGTTCAATTTTGCTAGGCATTTATTCCCAACACCGGTCGTGGTATACAAGGTGCAACTTCTCATTGTCTGGGCCAAAATTTTGCTAAAATGTTTGAGATAAACTTTGAAAATGATAAGGGAGAGAAAGCAATGGTGTGGCAGAACTCATGGGCCTATAGTACTCGAACTGTAAGCTTTGATTTCTTGAATATACATTCATCAGAGGATTTTTCCATATCATATTGCATTTATATTTCTTGTTTTTTTTAGTAGATTAGGGTCATAAATATACATGCATTGGAGGATTCCTCTACATCATATTGCATTAATATTTCTTGTTTTTGTAACAGATTGGGGTCATGGTGATGGTTCATGGTGATGACAAGGGTTTGGTACTGCCTCCTAAAGTAGCATCAGTACAAGTCATTGTGATTCCTGTGCCTTACAAAGATGCTGATACTCAAGGAATCTTTGATGCTGTTTCTGCAACTGTGAATACATTGTCTGAAGCAGGTATTCGTGCCGATTCAGATTTTAGAGATAATTATTCTCCTGGATGGAAGTATTCTCACTGGGAAATGAAAGGCGTTCCTCTGAGAATTGAAATTGGTCCAAAGGATTTAGCAAATAAGCAGGTCATTAACGTTGTCCAACTGTTGCATCAATTCTTATATTTGTTATTTTTCTCTACACTGTTAGTTTTTCAGTACCAAATAAATCTCTTTTGAAATTTGCGTAGGTTCGTGCTGTTCGACGTGATAATGGAGCAAAGATAGACATTGCTAGTGCGGAGTTGGTTGTGGAAATAAAAAAGTTGCTCGGTGATATTCAACAAAACTTGTTTGATGTTGCAAAACAAAAACGAGATGAATGCATTCAGGTCATACACACCTGGGATGAATTTGTGCAAGCTTTGAACCAAAGAAAAATGATCTTAGCTCCTTGGTGTGATGAAGAGGTATGAAGTATATGTTTTTGTTCAAATATGATGTTCCTGTTGGCTTGATATATTTTGATTTTTAAGGCATTTCCATGTTTGATTTATACAAGGCATTTCCATGTTCAAATATACTCTTTGAATGAGGTCGAACATGACTTGTTTAGCTAGGATGCATTTTTTATATCACATAGTTATACAGAAGATTACAGGTAAATAATTCTTTCAGGCTAGCTATTTGTAAGATTAACAAAATTCAATGAATTTGATTGGTCCAACCCTAAAGAATTTACACTTATAATTTCCTTCTAGCTTGCATTTCATTACCTATCAAGAATGGCAAAATCCAAATAGAACTGAATTGCTTGTGTCACAAATTATGGCCCACTTAAAAAGGTGTTTTGATATTTTAGAAACTTCATTGTGTAATCTATGTTCTTCCCGGGGGATATTATATAGCTGTATTATGTGTAATAATTTTTGGTCTATAATGCTTCAGGAGGTGGAGGCTGATGTCAAAGCAAGGACAAAGGGTGAGATGGGAGCAGCTAAGACCCTTTGCAGCCCCTTTGATCAGCCAGAACTCCTGGAAGGTATAATCCTTCTTGAGCATACTTAGTTGTTATTATTTTTATGCTACAGACCTTAAAAATCTATTTGCAGCCTTTGCTTCTGTATGAACTTTCTATCGACTAATGTTTTATGTTTCTTATTTAATGTTTCACCCCCTCTAATGAATAACATCATTAATATTGGTGTTGCTTATTGTGTTTGGTTTACAGGCACCAAGTGCTTTGCGTCAGGAAAGCCTGCAACAAAGTGGACATACTGGGGCAGAAGTTACTAGACTACTAGCTGTTGATTGTGGTAGTTTTTGAGTTAGTTTGGTATTTAATGGTGCCTTGTACGAATTTGTGGACCACACAGATTAATTTTTTCTTTTCTTGGGTATCTTTTTCAACTGATAATTTTACTTTTATTTTTATATGGGTACAATATTTATTTTGGTTTAGAAGATGAGTATTACATTTGTTGCCGTCCAAGTTTTGTTGAGAGCATACTGGACTCTTGGTTGGGATGATCCAATTATTTAGCATAAAATTACCCTCAATTAAACATGACATCATTTACTTCAGGCTTAGTTTGGAAGATATGAAATGGTATGGAACATTGATTGAACGATCCAAATGTAGTTTGTACTTATATAATATGACGGAGGAAGAAAGTCTAGCGAGTGTTGAACTTTTAATGAGATTTTTAAACACTTCCATACTCAAAATATTTACAGTACATGCATGTGAAGTGTGTATTCTTCCTTACCGGATATATTGTCTTGAATCTTTATTATCATGTCTCCTAGTATGCCTTCCTCAATGATTAGAACTAGTGATTCATCTAATTGAATTGTTATATGAAATGGAAAACTGGATTTGTGCTAATTGTTGACTATTGGACCCGTAACTAGTTTCTCTCTTAGGCCTCGGAAATCTTTGGTGGTGGTGGTGCTTGGTGGTTTCGAGGTTTTGAACCTTAACTGCTATATGTTTATTAATATTGTTATACCCTGTTTTATATTATTTTTCCATATTTACCCTCATTTACATATTTATCTCATTCCATTATTTTTTCAATTTATTTTTCCTGTATTTAAATTTTATGGTAGGAGGTTCTTTTTCTTGGTCAATAATTAAACATTAGTGAGGTTGACCAGCCTATCAGTCACAAAGTAGAACGGAAAGGCGTTTTAAACCCAATTTTCGGGGGAAAAACGGGCCTATTTACCCTATTTGTTTTCATGCGTCGGTGATGATGCAAGTCAAACTTTGGCAACAATAATTGTAACTATTTATTTTTTGGTCCATCCAAAATTAACTAATTCTAAATGGGCAGTTGCCTACAAGGGAGTCTTACCCTATCATGTCTCCCATCATGATTGCCAATGATACCAGATTACCAGTTAGTATTCAGATGCGAAAGACTACATTCTTGAACGCGTTGCTGGCAAATGGCAGTGATTGAGTTTGAAACAAATTACAAAGAACTAGGACATTTATGTAAAGTCTATCGTCAACCATTACGCATAGTTTTGATGAACTAATTATTTATTGAAGAAATAAAGCTAATGTTCTGAGAAGTTCACCCCTTCTTACCACATACAATTGATCCATGACGGGACCCGTATTCTAAATTAGAGTTAAGTATGATTTTTAGTTTCTAAAAAAATAAATCGTCTCTATCTAGTTCTTTATTTATGATAACATGCCATATATAATCTCTTTAAGTAAACAAGAGACAAAAATGAGACAATTGTCTTGAAAGATAAGAAACAAAAACGACATACTTCTGTATTCAAGGAACAAAGATGATTTTATTATTTAGAGACTAAAAACGTTTAGTCTTATTTTTAGAGATTAGGAAAACACGTTTAACTGTTACTCAAGTTCATCCAACTCCCCAAAAAGGGTAACGAGCTCATAGAGTTGCAATCTGATATCGTAGTCAGTTTGGGAAACTCAAGGATAAAAATCTAGTGAAAATAAGACATTTGTTCGCATAAATTTGTCCATTCGTATGATTGCACATTGCATTGTGCTAGGTTCTTAAAAACTGCTTTTGACGTCAAACATCCTAGTTGAATTTGGCCAATTAAGTAATGGTTTAATTCTTGATCGTGAATAATATCCTTAGTAAGTTTTATTTATGTTGTTGTCTTCAACCTACGTTCTTTGAAAGATACATAATTAGATGACGAAAATCCAACAATTGTGTGAGGGAGACTGGAAAAATAATTGGAGAATGAAGAATGCTAACAACCTATTTTCTTGTATGTATTTTATTATTAGTTTAACTTTGTGTAAATATTAAAATAAGAGTTATATTACTCGGTAAGATTTACATAAATTTTACCTAATAGTAAATTTTTTAAGGCCCTGTCTGCGTGCAACAAACATTTTAAATGGGAGAATTGTATTGGCATTACTTAATAGTAAATTATAATACGCTCCCTAACTCCTTTTTCTGTTATAAAATGATTATTATTTTAAAAATAATTTATATCAGAATGTTCATTGCTTAAAAATACTAAAAATACTTTTTTTTAATATTTATTTTAACATTATTTTCAATATTTCAAAAAATTGAAAGTAGGAGGAAAATTTGTGATCATGTGGTGTGACCATACCTCATAGTAAGACGTAAGAGTTATGCAATGCTTACATAGTAAAGTTTTTGTAATTTGAAAATACGTACCTTTTCTATTTTAAAATAATTGTTTCTTTAAGTTTTGTAACAAAGAATAAGAAATCGCTAAATATTTTTATTTATAAGGAATTATAAAGTCATTTGATTATCTTAATATGATTCTAATGCTAAATAATTCAACATAAAACAAAACATACACCTAATCTCGATGAATCCTCACCCTCTAAGGGCACTTTATACAAATTCAAACTTAGCAGATGCTTTGTCAGGCATCTGGGGTTATAGTCAGAATGTGCAAGTATAGCCTGCATAACGCGGGATAGAAATAATGCCTCTCTAGGACTCAACAAAATACCCAAAGAAAGCATTTATTACTTCACTTAACAGAACGCAGGTTGCGTTATGTGGACCATCAATTCATTCATTTTTATGTCTTCCTAACTTGGTCCTTGGTTACAGAGGAAAATTTAATGTAGTTCAACCAATGTAAGAAAGCATCAAGACTGCCAAAAAATTTATAAGTACTGATATTTCCTGTATTCATGAAATTTTTTTTTTTTTTCAGCAATAACCGCGAGTGAATCATTAGGACTAGTAATAAGGAATTAGAATAGTATGCATAATTCTTAATTTTGAAATTTGGTGTTCTCATTATAATTCTAATTAATAAAAGAAAAAATTACTCACGCTTCCACGATGCAGCAAAGTGTAAAATTGATAATTAAAATATTTTACGGCTTAATTACGAAATCTCTACAGTATTTTTTTGTTGTTGCTACTTTTGTATTTTGGTCTCTTCATTGAGGAAAAGCAAGAACTGTAATTCAATTTTCTGTGGGGCTTCATGATACGGTTGAGTATATTTATCTTCGTTGAAGTCTTCCTCACCTCAAAGGACGTGTCAGGAAAATGTGCTGAAATAGAAGAGATGGGGTCCAAAGGAAGTAGCCTTACATTTTGTCAAACTACTATATGATTGAATATTTGTATCTCAACATTTAACCATTTAATTTCTACTTTTCCTCCTTGTAGTCATTCTACAAATGGCATCCTCAATTTGTCTTTTAGATTTAAAATCCGAATTCTAAATTCTTGTCATGTATAAACTAGTTTAATTTTCATGTTGCGAGCGGTTTAATTATTATTTTACTTTATAAGAAAATTTAATACAAAATAAAAACATTTTTCACAAATAACATTTAATTGTGTGTATAATTTCAATCTAACAACCTAAATTTCATATATATGCAAACAGAATTATTATCAAAATTGCAACTTCATGAGAATCATATAAATGAATATTACCAGAAAATTAGTGAAAAAAATATTCAAATACAGTTTGAGACAGAGAGAGTGAGGTGTTGAAAGATTTTGAGAGGGGGAGAAAGTTTGAGTTGGAGGCAATCTAAAAGTAGGAAATATTATTTTAAACCTCTGTTTAAATAGTCACAGAATTTATAATATTTTTCACGAATCACCGCATGCAATAAAACTACCACCAGAATATTACCTTTTTTTTTTTTATATCAAACAATTTGTCAGATATATTAAAATTTTCTGCCTTGGCAAAATCGAAAATTTGAAGGGAATGTGTCTTGGCAAAAATTTATCATCATCCTTAATTATTAGAATCCTAAGCCTAATTCACATTCTCTTATGATTTCAAGATATATAATTATCAATGTTGCCAAAAAAACCCACACATTTGATTTCAGGCATGTTCGGAATGTGTCGGGTGTTGGTTAATTCTGTCATTAATTAGAGTAAACACATGAAATTAATGTGCCTCTCATTCAAATCTTAAGTCACAAATTACGCAAAGCATAAACACTAACTATGGCTAATGATGCTACGCAAAGCATGTTCAGTAGTATTATTTTACTCTGCATTATAATTCATATAAGTATAACCACAGCAAGCTTTGTACGGAAAGTTCATGTATAATGAAAGGATATAAAATACACTAAATTATGTAACCATACTTTATAGCTCCTATAATTAATTATCGTTTTGCTATCATATTAATCGTGTAACTTTTGCATAATTAAACGTGTAAAAGAAAAAACTTAAATGAAGATATGATATAGTTAAGGGGTGCTTTTGACTTTACATTCATTGACTGAGTTCAGACTTTAGCTAAAAGAATTAGAGAATTGACTCTCCTAGTATTCCTAAATCCATTATACAAATATATGTACCATAAACAAATCACACAATGTGTATCCGTAATTTACACTATTTAAAGGAGTTAATTATTACAAACAATTTCTTAAAAGATTCTATTCCACATGAAGAGAGAAGATCTGGATTTGGTGGATTATCCCCTAATATAATTGGAATAGGTATTAATTTTTGGGTTTTGTCAAATATGTACATATTTTATAAATGAGGTTCTAGGTTGTCGTCATTTATGATGTTGAAATGCTATTTGCATCTTTTTCAATTCTACCGTTTAAACATAACTACCATCATTATAAATCATATATTAAGGAACAGGGATCAAACCAATTGAAAAGCTAGAACAAGAACAACAAAAACCTAATGCACAAGTTGGCATTATAATAATTGCTCTGAAATTATTGCCTTCTAACGTGACAAAGAAACTCTTTTAGTCAACTGTCGAGAAAATACTTTTAAAAAATATAACTTAAAAAAGCAATAAAATGAAAAGTGTATTTAATTCACTGAAAAAAGATCTAAAACAATACTTTATTTCCCAGAGTGAGACAGAAATGCCCCTTTCAAGACTCGAGATCTAGTGAATGAAAAGGATATATTATGTTTGTCAATTCATTCATTCATCTATATATATGCATAACACTTTGCTGTGTGGAATAAAAATAAAATCATACGAATTTAGTTAGGGTTTGGTTAATGGGGCATAGGATACCTGACTTTGGAAACCTTAACTTTTCACATGCCAGAGGGTGAAACTTAGGCCTTTGTGTCTCTGATATTGTCTGTTCTAGGACCTTGTCCCCTTCTTTATAGACATATATTTTTTTAAAAATTGATCAAAATGTTGAAATAGTTCACTGTAAAATTAGTATATTTTTTTCCCATTAAGATAATTTATTTGGCAGTGGAGGAGAGGGGCGGGGTTAGTTGTTTCCTTGTGTGAAGCTCAAAATAAATAATAAAAAAAGACAAGATTTGATGCATGCGATTGTGAGGAAACAGCTCTAATGGATTTGTTTGTTTTTGAATTTTGATGGCAAAATGACGAACGCCATTTTTTTTTTCTTTTTCCGTTTGGCCTGTAAACGACGAACTTCATTTCGGTCCAATCACACTACAAACCCCAATTTTATATTACTACATTTTTATACCTTTTTACTATGTTAACATATACTCAACATAATAATAAAAAAAAGTTATATTTTTATGCTTGTGATAAATAATGTAATGCAGTAAAAGAAACGACAAAACACAACTAAAATAAAATGGAGTTAAAAATATAATTTAATTAAGATATGTATAAGATTCAATTTTATGCGATTGTTAACAGAAGATTAACTGATATGTGTTCTTTCAGTTTAATCGGTTTGAGGATATCTATAGTCTATGCAAATAAAATATTAAATTTTATGATAAATTTAGTATTTGTCTTAATGGTAGAGAGAGTTGAGTTGAAAAATGAAAGTCTAAAAATATTGTGTAATGTTGCAAGATAAATAGAATATGTTTTTTGTGAATTATAGGCATTAAAAAAGAAAGTGTTGTTATCCTAAATTAAAATGAGTGGTGTGAGTGTTGAATGGAGAAGCCTAAGAAGAAAGAGATGAAATCCCAGCTGTACGAAGAGAATTGAGGAAATCAGCCAGCCTTGCGAATGTGAACTCTAATTTGTATCATTACCATTATTATTATTTTGGGGTATTATTACTATTTTTTGTGATTTAGACTAATTTGTATTATTATGTTACAAGGTTATGGTTCCCTGACACTGACACGAGCATCCCTTCCCCATACTCTCTCACCGGTTTTGCTTTTTATGCCTAAAATTTGTCTCCCTCCCATTGTTCCTTTCATTGCACATTTTACCATGACTGAATTAACACAACTTTTTAGTGTTTTATTATTATGTTGACCGATACAAGGAAAACATAGTATGATTAGTAGTGTGAAGTGGTTAAAAGTTAAAACATAGTATGATAAGGAATGTTGAGTTGACGGAGTTTACGAAATAGGGGCTTGGATGAAAGTATTGTGATTTGTGGCACACACTTGTCACGAGGTGCACACAGTGACTGAAGTTAAACAGTAAAGTGAAGCTAGGTACATGCAAAGCTAAATTATGAGGAAAGGTGTTACCTTAGCAGTTGGCGCTGTCTGAAGTTGTCTGTGTATTGGAAATCACTGTCTCCGGTTACAATACAAACAACCTAAAATCAGATACCACTTCTGTGCTTAACGAGTTCATCACCAGTCCCATCTCCAAAATCATTTCAGTTTTCTCTTTCTTCACACTTCTCATCTGGAGCATGAAGATGAGGGGGTCCTACTGCTTATTGTTTGGAGGGCAGTAACAGTCTCTGTCAATGATTTTTACTTGGGTGGTCACTCTCTCATTTCAATGACCCACCCAATCAATATCACACTTCCTTATTGCTTATTGCTGCTGGGGTGGGGATTTTAATCAATCAACCATACCTCCTCCTCTTCTTCACCTTTCAAAATTGCTCTTTTTCATCACTAGGAGTAGGAGGAATTGAAGTTGGCTCAAAAAGGGAAACTTGGATCTCAGTCATATGAGGAGACCTTCAACAGTGAGTTCTCCTTCATTACTGCTTTTTCTGTCATTGGATGCCTCTCAAGCTTATTAGTAAGATCTACAACCAAATTCTTTTTTGCACATATGAAGAATAGCACTAGTTGGATCAACCATTGTTCACCTTGTTTTGTAATTTGTGTCTCTAATTCTGAAACAAGTGGCACTTCGTTAGTAGTGAACTGGGTTGTGATTGATTTTTCACTTTTTTTGTGTTTAATTAAAACCTCTTCTTGCACTGTTAAATGTGTGGAGCAAATGTAGCTGATGATTTGAGTGGCTTTTCAACTAATCAAAGTTGAATTTTGTGTTGCTCTTTCTAGATCCTACCTTAATTTCATGATTTTTTTGCTCTTCTCTGAAGAGGCATGTGAATTGGTGTTGTTCATGGCAAAATGGGAAAGGTATTTACATTCTCATTGGTGGTAACTGATGGTGAAAGTTTCTCTTGCAGCTTGTGGAAGTGCTTTTGGTACTTGCATTGTTCAGTGGTAGTCCATGGATAGTGTGGAGCAACACTCTTTGCCAACAGACAAACCTGGAGGAAGTTCGACCTCACAGTGTCAGCATCACGGAATTTGGGGCAGTTGGCGATGGGGTCACTCTCAACACAAAAGCATTTCAGAATGCCATCTTCTACCTAAATTCGTTTGCAGACAAAGGTGGAGCCAAGCTTTTTGTCCCGGCCGGCCGGTGGTTAACTGGTAGTTTTGATCTCATCAGTCATCTAACTTTGTGGTTGGACAAGGATGCAGTAATTCTTGGATCAACGGTATGCCACTCTTTGTAAATAATTAGGACAATAAAGAAAGTTTAGTATAGCTGCTTCAATGGCTTGTTTGCAGTTTTTCCAAAGTAGAAGATCGCTTTGAGCATAGTTTTCTTATTCCTACCAGGCAGTGGCATGTTTAAATTAGAGTTTGTTTGGGTAAACTTCTCTAAAAATACTTTCGGGAGAGAAAAATAGGAAGAAAAATCAAAATGAACTTTCCCATTAGTTAAAACTAGCTTATGTATAAGTTAAAAATAAGATCTTGGAGAATTTAATAGGATGAAGTTTTTTCAAAATATCTTATGCATAAGTTAATTTTAGCTTATAAAGAAGCTCATTTCATTTTTCCTTTTTATTTTGTTGCCCTGAAAGTGTTTCTGAAGAAGTTTACCCAAACAGGCCCTTAATCAATTGGCATGCAAGGATTGTATTTTGACTTCTAAATTTGTATTTTTCTTTGACAGTAAATTTTATTCACTGGGATTAAGTCCTACAAACTTGGTAGTCTAATGTGCTCAGACATTGCAGTTTCAATTATGATATGTATTTACTGCTTGTTACAGAACTTTGAAGATTGGCCAGTTGTTGATCCTCTACCGTCATATGGGAGAGGAAGAGAGTTGCCGGGTGGAAGGCATAGGAGCCTCATTTATGGGCGCAATTTGACTGATGTTATAATAACAGGTTGGTAACATGCAACAAAATTATTTTTTTTCTCTCTAGATACTGGTATATTGATGATATCAATGTCTCAATGAAGGTAATAATGGAATTATTGATGGTCAAGGGAGTATCTGGTGGAGCAGGTTTAGGAACAAAACACTGGATTATACACGTCCCCATTTGGTAGAATTGATGAATTCAACAGGGGTTCTCATTTCAAATTTAACCTTCTTGAACTCTCCATTTTGGACAATTCATCCTGTATATTGCAGGTTTGTCCCCCACTGAAGGATTGAGTTTCTATTTTATTCCTTGTTTTCCGTAGTTCAAGTACTTCCATTACCATTTTAAAACTCTGCAATAGTGGACCTTTCATGCTTAAGGGGAGATTTGAGACTGTTTTTCTGGATGAACAGCCAAGTTACAGTTCAGAATGTTGCGATCGTTGCTCCTCTTGATTCACCAAACACAGATGGGATTGATCCAGGTGAACTTTCTCCCTTTAAAATTTCATGCCTTTGTAAAACAATTACCAAATATTCTACTTTAATTTAAAAATAAATCCACTATTTTGGTGTGGTTTTAAGCCTGTCATTTAATTTGAACTAAATGAAGACAAAATATCTATATTTATGCAATTGTGCATCATGGCAATGGAAGTATCCTACCTTTAAAGCAATGTACGTCTTAAACAGTGTTAACATCCTCACAGTTATTTTCTTATAGAAGATTTATTAGATTCTCACAAACACCTTAAAAATGTGTCCAGATTCTTCTGACAATGTATGCATTGAAGACTGTTACATAAGCACTGGTGATGATCTGATAGCCATCAAGAGTGGGTGGGATGAGTATGGCATCGCATATGGTCGCCCCAGCACAAACATTATCATCCACAGGCTCGTTGGTAGATCTCAAACGAGTGCAGGGATTGCAATAGGAAGTGAGATGTCTGGTGGTGTATCTGAAGTTCATGCAGAGGATATTCATTTCTATGATACATATTCTGCAATAAGAATAAAGACTTCTCCTGGAAGGGGTGGTTATGTTAGAAACATCTATGTCTCTAACATGACCTTGGCTAATGTAGACATTGCTATTAGGTTCACTGGTTTATATGGGGATCATCCAGATGATGCTTATGACCCAAATGCTCTACCTGTAATAGAAAAGATTACAATCAAGGATGTGGTAGGAGAAAAAATAAAAACTGCAGGTCTTATAGAGGGTATAAAAGGTGACAATTTTGTCAACATTTGCCTATCAAACATCACCCTTAATGTGTCTTCAAACTATCCATGGAACTGCTCCTACATTAAAGGATACTCAGACTTGGTTCTGCCAGAAGCTTGTGAGCCTCTGAAGGAGAGAATATTCCCTGAGCATTGTTCAGATTGTTACAATTTGTCAAATCACCTACAGAGTTCCAATAGTCAACATAGAGGTGCTTGGTTTATGTCTTGGTAAATTGTGGAGTTTATAGCATTATGCTACCAAAGCTCATCACTTTATAGCTGAAATTTGATTGGTGCATTTTTTCAGCAGGACGAACTTCAGGCGACATAAGAAGTTGAGTGGAGTTCCCGAACTGTGGTAGTCCATCTGCAGAAAGATACCGAGAAATGATTGCTTTTTGTAACTTGTGTGCAGTAACAAATAATTGAGTGATTTATGAGAAATAGGAAGTTGGGTGGTTTCATGTCTTGCTTTTTCTAGCTGCATATGGCTTTGGAAAAGAAAATTGCAAAGTTTTGTGTTTCAATTGATTCTAAGGGAAAGAATGTGTTTGGCTGTTGATAGAGGTGAGTGAGATATGGTTACTCTGACATAATTCCCTTTTGCCACAATGTTATCAGTAATAGGAGATTTTGCAGTAGTACGAGGCAGGTGCTTGTTAGCTTTACCTCCCTTTTGATTGAATAAGGAGTCCAATAAATAAACTTCCTAGAAAGGTGGATTTTACTCGATTACATGACTCTTCTTTTACTCTCACTACATCAATATAGTTACTATTTTCCGGTTTATTTTCATTTCTCTTTTAGGCCGGTACATAGATAGGGCCTAAATGATCTCAGGATCGTACCTGGAAAGAAAAATTAGAACATAAAGGTGCAGATGTCATGAAAAATGAGAATTGTTTTCTCTCGAAAATGAAGCAAAAACATGGTAGTTAGATGAAACCTATGGCTATGCCCACCAGCCTATGGTTGGGGCACAAAGCTCAAAACTCAAAGTTATAGCCAGTAATTGAAATGCAAGGAAAATATCATGATTGCCTTAATATCAGAATTATAAAACTTGGCATGGTTAGGCTTAGGTTAGGTGTTTATATATACTAATTAGGATTCTACTATTGATCTTATACATAAATAAAAAACTGTTGAATAATTTAAAATTAATTTTTATTACTTTGTTGTCATATAAGGAATACCCTTGGTACATTAAAAAAATTCAAAACATATACTTATAGTTGCATTAACATCTTAACTGGAACCACCCTATTTATATTATTATTATTATTATGTTTGAAAGAATAGGAAGAGAAAAATAGAAGATGAGAAACTGATATCTAATCATCTAAAGGTTGTTGAGCCTGATCCTACATTGCTTTCATCAATGTATGGGCTAATGCTTACGTGAAAGTGTTGTCTTCTTGATGAAGGGGAAGGCTCGGTTTCTCCTTCAATTCTAAATTCTAATTGGCATTTGTGAAACTTTTTTTTTTTTCAACCCTGACTTTGCTTAAGCATGAATCAACTCTTACCGTTGAATCACACGCTTAGAAACCTTGGAAACCCATAAAAAATTGTGACGTTTTAAAATGATTCAAGTAATGACTGTGAGGTGTAGTGGGAACATAGTTTTTTCTCTAAAACTGAGATACAGATTCTTCACTGGTGATAGCATAAACAGGACAAAAATGATTGAAAGAAAGAATGTTGATAGTTCCTTTTCCCAACGCAATTATTCCACTAATTATTTTGATACTTTACACTCTAAATATGGTTTATTATGGACATAATTTGGTTGTTCTTTCACCAGGAAGTGAAAGAGAAAAAATGATTTAAAAAAATGTAACGTACTAACGGCTACATGTCAAGTTTGTCTTTGATGGTATAACTTTTTTCTAATGGAAATTAAACTTGATACAAACATTAGGATATAAGCTGAAACATCTTCTGATTATGTTTCCACTGCGAGTTAAAATAAATTTTTAAAAAGCTTATTTTAATAAATGTTTTGTTAATTAAGTCTGTATTTTATTAATATTTACACATTTATAAATATTCATGTAGCTTATGAAATGTTTATTAATTTTGAACTCAATGTTTTTGGGTTAGTTAAAAGTTGAACTAAATTTCAGTGTAATGATTTATAGTTATTTTCTTTTGGTACGTCTGAAAATAAGGACAAAGGAAACAAGAATAATCTTAAATCTCTAGTATACGAAATATTTATCCTATCTGTCAGAAGGTTAAAGTTGATGTCTGTGGGTGGAGCCTCCCAAATATAGTAGCATTAACCAAAGGGATTGGGAAAATGTGTTCCCTTGACCTCGTTTTGAAGAGTTTAGAATTTTTTAATAACACAAGATATTATATTATTCATTCGGTGACAAATCATTTATTTATTTAAACCAAAAGCACCTAATTGATATCTTGGAAATAATTATTTAATAATATAATATCTTATAAATTATAATTACTTCATGCGTTACTCATGGGGTACATGCTGGCTAAAACTAAAATAATGGCTCGATCTTCTAACCGAATCCTTCTTTTGGGTCCAGCCTCACCAAACCAAATGCATCTTCTTCACTTTTTCTTTCTCCAAACATCGTCTTTTGTACCTAATTTATTGAAAGATTTACTTAGTCACAAAAACTTTTTGTTAGTTTTTAATTTTTATACGAACAATTTTTATATGTGACAATTTTATACTACTAAGAAAACCAATGATATGACTAAAATATAAAAATTATTCACATAATAACTAAAACAAATTATTTTTAAGCATATAGATTAAAATGAAAAATTGGCTAAGTATAAGACTAAATAATTAATTAAACCTTACAGAAATAGCGTCATTGACCTGGATCCCTTCTAAGTTCTAACACCCACCTTGAAACACTCCGTTTCTTTTCCATTAATTGGGCCTGCGCAGACCACATTATGGGCCCAACTTTTTGGGTACGCCCGAGCCCATATCTTCTCTATTTACATAAACGCAGTATTCCAGGAAGACAAACAAAAGAGCGACAAAATAAAACGCATAATGTCCTAATTGGGTCACATAACTTGTCAAAACGAATATATTATGTGAATGTACTAGCTTATATTGGGTTCAAAATAACACTTGTTTTTAATATAGGTTTTGTTTGGACAAATTCTTTAATAAGCACATATTAGGAGAAGAAAATAGAAAAGATAATATAAATAAAACTTCTATCACGAGTTAAATTTAATTTACACATCTCAGTTTTTGAAAATAAATAATTTATTGAGACAACGTTTATAAATTTGAAATGTATTAGTTAATTTTAATTTATAAAAAAATAATTAATTGTACTTGTTTTCTTCTCTTACAAATGATAAAAGGAAATTTCTACTGGGTTAACATTCAAACATTGATAAAAAAAATTAATTGAGAATTGAGGCTTGATTGTAAATTAGAAGTTAGTGCAATCCACTCCATCCACTAACTAACCTGTCAAAAAATGGGTCGGATAGAAGATTGTCTCATTTTTTTAAAATAGGTTAAAAAAGCCACATGAATCAGACAGCATTTTTTAGATTGTTTGAATCATCAATTCACTCACTTAAAAATCGAAAAAAATAAATTAAATGATTTTCTTAAGTGAATCGAACTAAAGAATGTGCTGCGTGAAGATTTCTCCTTATGTGAAGGAGATCAATTTCGGGTAACTAATTTCTAGCATATTGAGTGGTAGTCTGGTAGAAATTATTTTTGGGGGTGTTACTTCCATTTTTACCTTTCTTATTTACGTGAGATACTACTTTCTTAATTCTTCCATACATGTACAACATTTTATACGGAGATTCCCTTCATTTATGATAATCTAATCTTATTATTTAAGGTGAATTGTATTTTTGGTTCCTCTCTAATATTAAATTTTTTATTTTGATTTCTCTGCTTTTAAATCTGTAATTATATTTTTTAATTTTATAAAATTTGTAATTTTGGTTTTATGTTGATTTTGGTATATAAATGACATGATAATCAATATTTAATAATATTTAAATTAAATCTTATTTTTAATTCTTAATTTCATCTCATTTTATTACTTTATCTAATAAAAATAAGGAATTATCAATTATTAGCTTTTATGTTATTTACTTGCTGTAAAATTATGATTAAAATTAGAATATTAATGATCCATAAATAAACATTTGATGAAAGGATCAAAATTGTAAATTTTTTAAAATTAAAATTAAAATTGTGAATTTAAAAATAAAGAGACTAAAATTACAAATTTAATATTACATAATAACAAAAATGTACTTTACCCTACTGTTTACCCATAAGCACCAACATTCACCATCATTGGAAATCAAGAGCGGCAACAGATAGAATAGGAGTTTTACTCACCATTCACAAGATAGAAATAGGAGTTGACAAAAGTTTACCATTAAAATAAGTCGCAAATAACTTGTAAATTTTAGTGCAAAAGAGGCTTTTTACATCAGTTATTTTAAGGTTTTTACGTCAGAAAAACCTCCGACTTAAAAGCCGGAGACGCAAATTTACGTCAGCGTTTTAGACTGACGTAAATTTACGTTAGAGATTAGCGAACACCGACATAAAAAAGTTACAAAAACCCCAAAAAAAATTATGCTGGAACGGCCCGTTCTACAAGGAGAACGACCCGTTCTCCTTGCTGAGGGTAGTCCATATTCAGGATCCAGAAGGCCTTGTACAAATTTCTGCTCCTGTCTGCAGCCAAAGATAAACAATATTATGATACCTTCGAACGGAATAAAGAAAGGAGGGAAGAAGATAAGAAAGGAACCTTCAAACGTAGGAAAGGAGCGAAGAACGGGAACGAAATCTGAATGCTCCCAACCAATGGCGTTACGTGTTGGCTGCGAAATCTGAACGAAATCTGGTGAAGAATAGAGAGGCGTTACGTGTTGGCTGCGAAGCAGGGAGAGCGGGAAGGAAATCTGGTGAAGAATGAGAAAGAATGGAGAGGCGCTATGCAACTTAAATTCAAAAATTCAACTTGAATTTACGTCGGAGGACAAAGGGTCCGACGTAAATTCAAAAATCTACGTCGGTTGTAGCTGAGGTCCGACGTAGATTGTTGAATTTACGTCGGTCCCTTTGTTGTCCGATGTAAAAAAATTTGCGTTATTTTCAAAAATGCCACCGCGTCATTTTTAGGTCGGATATGTTGTAGTCTGACGTGAAAATACAGACGTAAACTTTTTCACTAGTGAATTTATTAGTTTAATCGTTGAATTATAATTTTATATTATTTTAAATTTGTATATTAAATTTGGTTAACATTTAATAATAATAATAATAAAATATAATTAAATTGTTTATATTTTAAATAGTATATATTATATCAATTTTGATCCATATAAATAAAATATTAAATAATTTTGAATTAATATAAATTTTTGTATATATAATTTGGATAAAAAGAACTTAAAATTTAATGATGAATTTAAAAATAAAGAAAATTTATTTAATTGAAAATTATTAAACGATGTAATAATTAAGAGTGCTCCAAACCGAACCAATCTAAGTGAAAAATCACAAACTGATCCAAAAAGTCAAAAATCAACAAAATGCCGCAAATTAGTTATTTCATTTGTTTTTGGATTGGATTGTGGTATGCTACAAAACTAAACTAAACTGCATTTATTTGTATATATATATATATATATATATATATATATATATATATATATTTTATATATATAATATATATATATATTTTCTAAATGCATAAACAATATTAATACATAATATAAAAGGTATTTTATAAAATTATTAGCTACTAAAAGGTGTTTTTCTCTCCAAATATACTTATAATATTTAAAAGATATTTTATAAAATTATAAGTTACTAAACTGAATTTTACAATAAAAAATTATGAAAACATTTGAAAATATTTTTTTTTGAGTAATAAACTATATCCATAAGAAAAATATTTAATATGATAACTAAAATTGTATTAAATAAATATTTTTACTGAAATAATAAGATAAAAATTGATATTAAATATATTAAGTGACCGAAATATTTTAGTATTTATATATTTTTAATTTTATTTTTGAGGTACAATCTTAAATATCAAATCTTTAATAACATAATATTATAAATTTTGAGTTAATTTTTAAATATGAAATCCTAAAAATGATAAAAATCAAAACAAACAACTGAAAAAAAAGAGTTTGATTTAGCATATTTAAACCAAACTAAACAAAAATTATACTTAATTTTCTTGTTTAATTTGAATAACTTTTAATATAAAAATCGAATCAAACCACGGTACAAATATTAATAAAAATTACACGTATATAATTTGAAGTTTCCCATATGTATTTGTTTAGTAGTAATTGCGGTCTCCGGATCCAATATCTGGGATTTCTACACCTATTTTTAATATGTTGTTTAGGGTTTAGGGTTTCTAAGTGTACAACTTGTTTCCTTTCGGCTTCCTCATTGACTATTGTCACAAAGTTTCAGACCCACGCATGAATGCGGGATATGCTTTCGGGATCTTCAAAATTTGCACACATCTTTCAATTACTACTGAACCTCCATGTTTCCTATGTCTTTAAAAGCCACGCAATAAAATATTTCTTGTTTTTAAAAAACAATACTAGTTAGATCAAAAGAATCACAGTAACAGAAACATCGCATTCGCATTCTAGTAATTATTTTCTTTTTCAAAGTTATTCAAACATTATGGACGGTCGCAACTATATTAATCAAAGGGATATTGAGTATATTATTTGTGGTAAAAAAAGAAGAGAGTACATTTAAAAGTTAGAGAGAGAAATATTTTGTGATTTTCAATAGTTTTTATTTGATTTGACGTATTTGCATATACTGATGATTTTAAATTAAAAATAATCTTAAATTTTTATAATGTACATTATTATTTTTCTCAATTTAATGCATATATGTAAAATAATTTAATCTTTTGTGCGTGAAATGATTTTTAACATTCTAGTTCCTCTTTCGTTGGCGATATGAAACTATTATAGAATAAAAGTAGATATACAAATTGAATTAAAAATATTTATCAGGCACAATTACAAAAGTTAAATATAATATTTATAAATCCTTATGCATCTTAACTTAATTTAGTCCCCAACACTTTACTCTAGTATTATAATCTTTCACAGACGGTCATATATATGCGTTTTAAGAAATAATTTTTAAAAACAACTGTTGATTCAATTTTTTATTACTTTCAAAAAGCTACTGACCAAATAACTTCTATACACAGACTAAACTAAAAAAAATTCACATAAAAAATTAAACTAAATAAGTGTCACCTACATGCATTCAATAGGTAATAATCAATCTAATTAAGGGTGTGTAAAAAATTTATAATCGATCTTATCTGTATTAAAAAATTTGATTCATTTAAAAGAAATTCAAATCAATCTAAAACTGATTCAATTATTTAATCTATTTTTACAAAGTAGATCGGTTCAATTTGATTTGATTTTTTAAAAAATTAGTTCATATATGAATAAAAAATAAATAATTACACTGTATTGAACCGATTCAATTTCAAAAAAATTGATCCATATTTTAAAAAAATCAAACCAATCCACTTTATTAAAAATAGATTAGTTAACCAATTTATTTTTATAAAACAGTTTGGTTTAGTTCAATTTAAATTTTTCAAAAAACGAATTCATGAACACCCTAAACCTGATGGCTTGAAATTTGTCTGCTATATGTCAAGTTCAAGTTTAGAATACGTAAGGATTATAGTAATTTGACTCCACTGAAACAAGATATCCACTATTAGTTTGTAGAAAGTTGAAAAGGTTGGAGCAAGACGTGAACAGTTGAACTAATTGTATAAAAAAATGAAGATGCATAATCATATGGTGGTGCAGTAGAGTGATGCATTGAGAAGCAGAAGCGAGTCTTAATAATGGAGTGTTTTAGTTTTACATAATATAAGTATTAATTAAAAAGAGTGTAAATGGTGCTCATGCCTAATCTTGCTCTCCATTAATTATCTGTATATATATACAGAGAGAATTAAAGTATAGAGTGTTGAGAGATATGGGAGATAGCTAGTTGGTGGAGTGAGGAAGGTGCGGTGAGGCATTGACATTGTTATTAGCATCAGCGCCTCTCCCAATGATGGAAGAGATAGCCGCTGCCAAAGCGACAGTGAAGTTGGGATCGGAAGCAATGGCTGCGCTGACCGTTTCCACCATGGTGGAGGGTTGTCGCTGCGGAAGCTTATTCTGAGAGAAGAACATGGGGTGGCCTAGGAGGTGGGGGGCAGCAGATGCATGAGCATGATGCAGTGGGAGAGGGAAGGTAGGTATTCGGTGCATGATGGCGTTGGGGGTTTGCGTGAGGTCGAGGGTGATGGTTGGGAATGGTGCCGAAGCTGATAGGGTTGCCATTGAAGCATAGGGAAGGGAAGAGTAATATCCTGCGGAGTTTGTTAGCGCTTCCTTGCTGGGCGTTGAACCTGATAGCAGCATGGCCGCAGCTGCTGACGTGGTGTTTGCCATGGCCGAGGCAGCCGGTGGCAGAGGGTGGTTGTGATTCCCTTCGTAGGTTGTTATCAGCACTGTCTTGTCCTCTGCGCATCTTTGCACCTAATCAATGTATATGTTTTCACTTTTCATCAATCTACACTTGCATCATGCATCAACACAATTCAACCCATGCAAGTATAAATAATTAATTACCTGTTTTCGGACAGGGCAACCTACGGCCATGGTGCAGCGATAGTAGGCACGAGGGCAAGGGTTACCTTTCGCCATTTTTTGTCCATATTTCCTCCATTGACATCCGTCGCTAATCTGAAACCTCCCCATCATCCAACATTAATTCTTTATTAATTTACTTCATTTCCACATTTATGCACCCTTTTGCTACCCCATCTACTCAATTTTTTTTATTATTAATTATTATGATATTTTAAAGAAAATTAGATATGTTTAATAAGAGTTAAAAACTCAATTTTTAATTTAATAAATAAGAGCTTAATATCAAGAATAAATAGTATAAGTAGTTAAAGGTAATTATGAAACGTAACACTGATTCAAACACTTCAACCGTGTTGGAACATTTCGAAAAATATCACATTAGAAATTCTATTATTAGTCCAACACAAAGATAGATTAATAGCACGTTAAAATAAATTATACAAATAAGATCTTAAAATTGAATTGCATTTTTTATAAAAAAAAACATTAAAATAATTTAATTTAATGGACAAATAAACTTCATAAAATTTTATAAAGAAGAAAATAATTAGAAAAAACAAAATAAACTTCTCTTAAGCCGAAATTAATTTATAAATAAGTTAAATCATGGTTTTGGAAAATTTAGAGTTGCTTAATCATTTAATATCTATTTTTTTAAATTCATGCATAAAGTAATTTTAATTAATAAAACAAATTTATTTTATTTTTACTTGTTTCTTCATTAATTAATTGTTAATAAACATAATTATCTAAATAGGCCTAAATGTAACAACAAAACACACAAGTCATGCCTTCATTAACTAATAAGTAGTAAATTGATAACAAGTCCTCTAAATTATAATAAGTTATTCGTAAAGTATTTTGTTTTAGTTTTGCAGTGAGGATCTGTAATTTATTAGATTAGAGATTAATTAATTTCACTGTTTGTATTAAACCTATTAACGTTTACATAATTACTTTAAAAATTAGGGAGGATTTCTAACCATATAAAAAACCTTGTATAGTAATTAATTAATTTGCAGGTTAATTTAGTTATAATATGAAGAGGAGTTAAAATTGTTGGATGTTTTGTTAATTAATTAAGTATGTGTAAAATTGAGTATGCAAAGGTGGTATGCTACAGGGGTGTTATTACCAGGGGAGCTTCTGATCTAGCACGTACGGAAACCCTGGCTTTTCTGAAAGGAATCTGGTCAGCAGCAGCAAGTTGTTGCCCAGTTTTGGGTTCTTCTTCCCAACTCTGTGACGATGACCGTTCTTCTGCAACATCAGGACAAGCCTTCTTTCCAAGATTCAGTTTAGTCAATTGAGCCTCATCAGCATCATCTCTCTTCGACATTACCTCTCCGTTGTTTGAACGACATGCCGATACCTCGCCATCATCACAAGCCGATGCATTTTTCCTGCATGCTCCTCCCTCCACAACTTTTTGTCCCCACACTTCCGTATTCTGTTACATAATTACAACTTCAGTTCTATAGACTATGGATATCTGTTTTAACTCTTGGTTCAACCACGTTTGTGAATTTTGACAGTTATTGTTCAGTACTTTGGATTTTAACTGTCGGTACAACTACATGTGTGTATATCAATTCTTGCACTTTTCTCCGGAGGGTATTATCAATATCTGCACTCTGCAGCTAGATATATAGATGATGAGACTTTTTTTTTCATATGCCAGGTCAAGTCAATTTTCTCTGGAAGTACTTGTTAGTATTAATTTGTCGCCTAGTTCAAATAGGGTTTTCATAGTCTGAACCGTGGAAGGGGTTTCAAATGGAAAATAAAATGGGATTTTGTTACAACTTGCGGGTTATTTTCATCACATTAAATAAATAAGGAGAAAGTATTTCATCATAAATAAAATATTAATTGATTTAATAATATTTAATTAAATATATAAAGTATTTTGTAACTGTTTGAAAAAACCCAGATATATAGTAAAACTGATATCATAATTTGTTTGAAAGAATATATATTTTTTTATATATATGCAAGATGAAAGAGTTTGAAAAATGACAGTGAATGAAAATAGCACGCTTGCTAATTTAAGTGAGGCACGCTACCCTGTTTCTTCACTGACTAAGAAAGATAGAAACAAAATAGCTCTCACACACACCAAACAAATCATTTCCTTACAGTTGAAAAAATAAATAATAATTTAGGGAGAATTTGTCTGTTCTTAGAAGAAACTATTGTTTAATTTAATTTTGTTTGTGAAAACTGAAAACAAAGAGATGGACACAAAATTAAATGTTGGAAATATATATAAACTCACCTGAGGAAACTTTTGTTTCTGCAAAGCGATGAACAACTGAGCTTGTAGTTGGGTATAACTTTTGGTAATTTGGTCCAGCACAGTTCTCAATTTGCTATTCTCTTCTTGTAGTTTGCGCAATTGGCTTTCAAGAGAACTCAGCTGAGAAGAAAACATAGATTAAAAAAATCCTCCCAACAGAAATCACAGAACTTATTATCCCTATGGGTATGAATATGATACAAACCTCATGAGTTTCATCGTTTTCTGCTTTTGTGACTCCAAGGCTGGCACACGTTAAATTCAACCCGGTCTACAGACAGATAGAAACATAGAACAAGTTGATTAAAAATGGAGTTGCATTAAGTATATATGATGCAGAATTTGACTCACGTTTACGGTGTGATGATTGAGACGTGTGGGTGATCCATGGGTTTGATCCTGCGGGTGGTGTTGTTGTTTGTCTGCAGTGACATGGTTGGTATTGTTATTTTTATGAGTGGTTGAAGATGAGAAGAAATCCATTTCCTTGATGGGAGGATCTGTGCGTTGGGAGAGAAAGTGATCGGAAGTTAAGAAGGATAAGTGGTGGGGATGTGGGTTGTCCATGTATTGAGAGTTGAGAGTTGAGAGTTGAGAGAGAAGAGGAAGTAGCAATGTGTGTTGGCAATGGGGATTCATGGATTCAACGCAATGGTTTTAAATGTGGTGTTGCAGTTGCATTTCTAGGGGGTCCCACCATAAATTAAATATGGAGAAAAGGTAATGTTGTTATGTGAGTAAGAGGTCCACCAAAAGGTTCAAGAACTGGGGACTCGGAGGGACCAGCCGTTTTTTCGCCATAATTGACGTCACCATTAGCCTAGTATGAACATTGAACGGGGGATTATTCCCTAACCACACTCAAACTCATTACAGTTTTAGTTCAAAACAATATTGCTTTTACGAAATGAAAAAAAAAAAAAGAAAAGATTTTTATGGGGATCTGGGAACGGCGTTAAGAATAACGGGGCAATCCGTCCACGTGGGGTAGTCCCCTAAGGTCAACCCAGTTGACGGCACGGCTCTCTGTATCGGACGGTAGTTGGAAGCAGTGGGGCCCACAGGATTGGAAAACCTAATCCCACTGACTTTGAAGGCAACGACGACGTCATTGGGATCAACCGTCCATCTCTTTCGAGGTTTATTCAAGACCCAACTTGTATTCCCTCCTCATTCTTCTACATACCAAGTACTAAAAAAATGTTGATGTTTTATTTTTCCCTTTCAATATATGACATTTGTTTTGTTGAATTGATTGCTAGAGGCAAAAACCACCGCATGCCATGCCTGCCCTGGTTGACGATCGAGGATCACATTTATACATTAAAATATAAAGTTTCAGTTTAATTGGTCAATGACTTAATGGTTCTGGAATCTGGATTTGCCACTTGATTTGATATGAATCTCCGTCTGGCTTTTATTTGGACATTCTTCTCCTCGTGGTGTAGTAAATAATCACATAGAAAACGCAAAAATGTTCAACAATGCCAGAGAACGTCCATATAATGTGGTTACCTCACTTAAGAAATTAAGCCATATTTCTCTTTCCATGTGAATAAGATGTACAAGATTTATGCATATCTTCAAGTCAATGCTAGGTAACACAAATTTCTATTAAATTCCTTTTTCTTTGTAGACAACTTTGACTAAGTTGGTTCTTCATAGACTACAAATTGTCATGCACGTTGTGGTTCCCAGCTAGCAGCTTCATCAATATGCATTTAGTGTTACAGCTATAAGTTAAAGCAGTGGTATTTTATGGGTTCGTACACTAGAAATTATACTAACATAATTTCCTTGAATTTAATTTCTAATTAAAAAAAAAATTGAAACACTATGAAGCTGAAAAACGTACACGTGTTTTTCCCTTGCAAGAGTTACATATCTAGACAGAATCTTATCTTTCTTGTTTGAGAGACAAAGGCAACAAATCTTGATTAAAAATTAAAAAGTTTGATTGTACCCTCTTTCTCCTTGTCTCTTCCTAATTTGTACTGAGGGATTGAATTCAATGTTGCAAGAAACAGAGAGAAATGAGGCCATACATACCATGATACAAGGAGTACTATTTGGGTGATCTACCAACAACGCTAACGGTGGGTAGAAACAAAAATAATTCATTCCAATATGGAAAAGACCTGAAAGGATGGAGAGAAAAATTTCTATTATCCAAGGAAGGGAAGGAAATCTTGTCAATTAAATGCAGTGTACCTTGCTATCCCAACTTGCATGATGGGGTGTTTTAGACTTTAAAAATCTTTCTGTTACGAGATAAATCAACTTGTGGCCAAATTTTGGTGGGGTCAGAACATTGTAAGTGCTTATCGAGCTAGCTGGGAAATGGTACACAGCACCCAAAAACTTGGGGATGTTTGGGTTTCAGGAACCTTGAAGATTTAATTTGGCCTAACTACATGCGGGTGTAAACCAGTTTTACCAATCTTATTAAATTTGAGTTTTGATTATGTGTTAAATATTTGTCATAATATATCGTTTAGAAAATATATATCCGTAATAATTCTACTCTACTCAAACAAATTTACCTCCATTAGAAGATACATATATGTAATTTATACCGTACCGTTACTCAAAGCAATATATACTTTCCAAATAGCTAGGCTTAACTTGGTCAACGTCCTTCAAGTATATGTACTTGGAGAAGTATAGGGTGGAATATCCTTATCTTATTATTATTGCTCGTATGGGTCATGGCAGCAGTATAAGAATTGCTATTGGTCCCTGGATTCTAAACTTCCTCTTTATTCAAGATAGAAAAGAATTGATGGGAAAGAAAATAGGTCTTTAGGATGAGAACAATAAATTATTACATGGTCCAGAAATACTGTATTTTTTTTGGACAATCTCTACAATCGAGTCTTGTTAACTCTTTGTTGTAAATTGAAAAACTCAATTACATAAAAATTAGGTGGATCATAGACACGTGTTCTTGGTCCATGTTAATTGAAAGTGAATTTAATTATTCCTTTCCTTAGAGAAAGATTCACTGTTAAATATCTTCTTATAAAGATGAATGTGAAGGAATATAATATAGACTTGACTATATATTATCTAATTAAGTTCCTCTACAATTAATGTGGACGCTACTCTAAATATGAATATGAATGTTTTGGATGAACTAGCAGACTTTCCGGAGACTCTTAAAGTTTCTGCAGAACTGGGCCATCAAAAGCTGCTTATTGAAAGTTGTAAAGTTATGGCACAAATTTCTTCCATATTTCCTGTTTTAATTCTGGAACGGCCCGTTCTTGGCCCGTTTTAATTGCAACAAAATGACTCTGTGACTTTAAGCAGAACGGCCCGTTCTGCTTTCGGAACGGGCCGTTCCACTTCCAACATCTTCCCAAAATTCCCCCACAAACACGAAAAAAAAATATTAAAACAACTCAGAATTCGATTCCTCGGGAACCGAATTCTGAGTAGAAAAAACAAAAAAATAACACTTTGAAGCTCAGAATTCGGTTCCCCGGGAACCGAATTCTGAGCCTGCACAGTAAATGATTCTAGTGTGATAAATAAACCTGCACAGTTGTTAATCTTGTAATTTTTTTAAAAAAAAATATTATTTTGGTAAAGATTCTCTTATTATTAGGCCAATTCTACCGAACTCCCTTTAAATTAGTTTTTTTTTAAAGGTCCTTTGAATGACTTATATACTACTAGTCCGGTCTTTGAAAAATATTATACTTAATTATATTTTTATCTTTTAAATATGTGATAATTCTTTTTTATAATCTCTCAAATTTAAATATTTTTTAGTTAACAAAAATTGTTCAATCTACCCTAACATTATTAATTGATAAATAAATTGTAGTTTATTCCTTTTATTTTTATCGATATACAATTTTTATCTATATATTTTAAAATAGAGATATTTAATCCTTTTAATTTTAAAAATATAGAATTTGAATATTTTTATTAAATTAATATTTATTAATCGTTTAATTTTAATATTTATTCATACTCAAATGATAAAACATTTAATAATATTACATTTGAAATATATATATATATATATATAATTTATTAATAAAATAAATATTAATCACTC